TAACTTTTCAAGTCTCAATTTCACTGCACTGAAGGATGTTGTATTAGTTTTAAAAAAGTTGATTTTAGCATCTCAGGTGGATCCAAGAAAAAACATGACTCTTCGGAGTTCCTGATAAGCCTGAGCTAATTATGTTTCCCACTAATGAAAACCAAATAATGCTTGAGTATATAGAACAAAATTTCCTAGGAATTCAGAATATTCCATAAACACATTGACCTACTATTAAGTTTCCAAAGGCATCTTGTTGCCAACTACGTTAACAGCACAGTTTTTCTGCCACAATAATACAGGAGGATTAAAATACACTCTAACACACAACAGATCCCCCAAATACCACAAAGAGATCTCAAATATTTCACCAAGGTAACTATTGCTCCCCCCGCCCACCCAAAAAATAATCTCGTACGCTGAAGTTAGGAAAAAAAGTTCACCTACGTAGGGTCTTCCATTTGAATTAGATATAAAAGAGTAAACATAGCTAATACATATTCAGTTGGCCTCTGTTGATAGAAATCCACAGCTGTTTCTGTGTTAGTAAAAGACATTTGTAGATACTTATAAAAGCACCTAGAGTGCAGTAAATAAAATCAGTGAGTTAAGCCATTTCTGTTCTCTGCTTCCAGTAGATTATGAGTTTAGTAGATTAATAAATTTTACTTTGTCCCACCCAACCCCTTCAGAAGACCATATTTAAGAATTATAAAGAACATGATTATTGTTGTTGTTATTGTCACTTGTCTGTTTTTGGCCACCATGGAGGTTCAATGATAAAGCACTTTGCTGACAGCTGGCAGTTTTTGTACACAGACACACTGAGCTGCTGAGCTATGCAGTCCTGTTTCTTGACGTGAAACACACAGACTCAAACTCGTTCGGAATTAATAGCAGTGTGTTAGCCTAAAGGAAGTGACTTGGGGAGGTCTGCACTGAGACTCGGGCGCACAACTTAGGTGGGTTAAGGCAAGTATGTACGGTATAGCCTTTAGGGCAAACAACCTGCCATTTCGGACTTCGGTTACAAGGTCATCATGGCATGTTTTGTTTGTTTTTGCAATTACATTGCCTACGTAGCCGTGGTGCTATCAAGACGTATGGAGTGCAGAAGACAGGGCTGTCAAACTAATGTGCCCTGGATGACTTTGCAGCTCACAGAGGCTGACTGGCTGGGCTGCAGAGTAGTTAGTGACGGCCAGCAGAGGGCACCAACACATCTCCTTATGAACTTTCCAAAGGCCTGGGAGAAAGAAGCCTACTTTCAGGAAATCCAAGATGGGAGTGTCCTGCATATTTGTTTCAGTTAGAAAGAGGAGGCCAAGAGGAATTAGTATGTGCCTCTGTGTGTGTGTGCGTGTGTGTGTGTGTGTGTGTGTGTGTGTGTGTCTCAGTGTATGTAGAGGCTTTATGTTTGTTCTGTTAACATGTATATATATTTAAACTCAGTTGCTTCTTGCTCTTCATAAAATGCAGGAGGCCACTGCAAAACAAGTTCTTTGAAAGGTCCAGGAGCTGACATACTGAGGCCATCTGTATTATTTTGACCTGGTAGAGAGAAAGAGAGAGAAAGAAAAGTTGTTTTTAATCAAGGGGGAGAGCCCAGCATCTTTCTCACCTCTCCAAGCACAAGAACAAGCAAAAATTAAACACAAAAAAGTCCAAGCCCAAATTGTGCTTAAAATGAGACAACTTTCCTCTCCGTTTCTTTTTCCTCTGTAACCTCTTGGGTAAAGTGGCCACTTATGATAATTTAAAATCCATTTCTGGGGACAAATGAAATGAATATGTATTGCTATACAATTAGGCTGCCAAAAAGAATGCAGTGTTTTCAAATGTTGCTAATATACCATGGGATATTCTCACAGTTTATACTGCGGGAACCCAAACACATCTCTACTGGCGATGGCACATAGGTCAGTGGTAGTCAAAACAGCTACTTTGTTAGAAAATTAACCTGTGGACATGGGAATGTTTTTGTGAGGGAGCTTCATGGCTATTATTTGTTTCAAAGAAGTTTACCAAACCATATGAAACAAATTAATGAAAACCTTTTCTTTTAGGATGGATGATAGATAATCTAAAGAATTACAGAACATTCTCCCAACTTAACTAAAAAGGAGAGGGCTGTCTATTCAATGACTGTAGGAACTGAAACGTGGCTGTGAATGGAAGTCAGTCAGGGCAGTGTTTTCAAAGCTCTTAGCCACGGATTTGCTGGGCATAATGGAAATCCCACAGCTAAAACTGCACATTACTTTTTAAGCATTTGCGTTCCTTCTAAGGAACAGCTTTTATTTCCAGTTGCTATATAATATCGTGAAAGTGCTTGAACCGGACCATGATGTTGAATTACTCTTAGTTTATGAGACTTATTATGGCAGGTTGACAGGAAAAGCTACTCCCTAAAGGACAAAGACATAGGAGATGTTCAGGTCCCTTCCTCTCAGCAGGGGTGAAATTTATGCAGGAGTCACTTTTGGTTTTTCACAGGGTTTGAATAGGCGGTGGCTGTCAGATGAGTGGTTCTGAAGGCTACCATGTTGAAGGCTACTGCATAATGTAAAATCAGAAGAGGATAGTTGGTTGCAGAGAAAGGGAGGGGTGCAGGCATGTTTGGAGGTATGGCAGCCAAGTTAGTGTGAGAAGTACAACTAAGTACATTAAAAATCAGAAAATATAATGAATGCCAGAGCAAACTCACAGGTCTAAGAATTTGGAAAGAACACTGAACTAAGGGGTTAGGAAAACTGGTTGATAATTGGGGGTGGCACAACTAACAGGTTGTGTGACCTTTGTTTTCCTTTGTCTTCCTCCAGTTTCCTCATCTGTAAAATAAAATCTCAGTGTTGTAGAACTTGAAGTCCGGTAAGGGGATGTTTTGTAGAAGGGGCAGTGGTAGTATTTTGACTAGTGATTTGTTATATGCAATTAATTCTAACTTCCTAAATCTGAATGTCATGGAACATTCAACTTTTTTCATGAGCAGTGAGACTTGAAACTTCTTACATAATTTTAGTGTTCCCAGGCAGTAAGGAAGAAAATAGTATTTTTATTACTTTTCGTTTGTCATTTAAAGTCTTCTATTTAATAAAATCATGGTAAGTTTGGTCCTCAGGAATTTAATGATGGATATTAAATATGCAGGGTCCACTTTTTGAAGACATTAGAATTATGGATGCCTGATTTGAAACAATATACTTGATTATGTATAATTAGCATTCTCTAAGATAGCTAATCCTATATATGTGGTTACATGTAACTTATTATAGCTTGATCATATTTACTGATCATTCATATTCATAAACACAATGAAGTGTTACATGATGAAGAAATGCTATGTGATATTGTCAGAAACAAGCAATTACAAGCTTTGTAGATGTTCTGGTCTACTCTTGAGCACATATTGTTGCATGTTATTTGGGTGGATATTATATGTGATCTATTGTTTCCAGAGGAAATCCTTTCGTATACTATGAAATATAGTATATTATATATTATATTGTATAGTATATTGATTTCTGATTCGATAAAGTCTTTTCATGAGTAATATTGGTTCACATAAGCATTGTTCCCAGTACTACTAAGTTATGTTTCTTAAGCATTTACCATGTGGCATGTTTTACGTCTTATATACTTATAAATTCAAAATAATTATATGAAGTACATGTGCTATCATCTCTCTTTTGCAGGTAAGGAGACTTAGATTTGATGAGAATAATTAAAGTTATTCAAATCAAGTTGTATGTCCAAGGTCATAAAGAATTTCATCTCTAGTACTCTGCCTTCTAGGTCCTCCTAACCACTGTCCTGTATTGCTTTGCCTTTATGTTTTAATAGAACACTTTATATAAAGCTATGATACAATATAGGGAAGAGTGGTAAAGAACTTAAAGGGTTTGTAATTTTACTTTTTGTGTGAGCTATCAAGTCTTCCTGGGAGGACAGGAAATTTTGGTCTAAACAGAAAACAAGTATAGTGCTAGGCAAAAGAAAAAAAAAGAGAAGTATCAGAGGAAAAAGAGATTTAAAACTCTTCCATAAAATATATATTTTAAGATATAACTTGAAGGATAGTGGTATTTCATCTTGGAAAAAAATGTTTGGTGTCAAGAGAACAGCATGGGCAACTAGAGAAACACATGTCATATGGGTGGAAAGCAAGAGTTCTAGTTTCACCGGCAAAAAATGGGTAAGATGGCAGACTACTAATGCCCTCAATAGATTATAAGATTCATCAGGACAGGAGCCAGCTCTTATTCATTATTACACTTTCCCAGTATCTCCTAGCATCAGCTGCATATGGTTGGGAGTCAAAAGTTGTTAAGGGTTGAAGAGAAGAGAGAATATTTCAGCAAGATATTGGGGCCAGGTCAGAGGATACTTGCAAGCTACGGTAAGCAATGTGGACTTTGTTTAGTAGGTAATAGGGATTAATTGATAGTTTGGGGACAAGGAGGGGAAAGAGTCAAAGTGGTACTTTGGGAAGAGTAATTTGGCAGCCACACGGAAGACGGGACAGAGGTACTAAAATTAGAAAGAGACAGGAAAACGTAAGGTAATGAACGCTGATTTAGGGCAGTGGTTATGGGGATACAAAAGAGATTGTGTGATGCACTGTTTGCAGAGGGAAGGCTTTGAATGCATATAGTATTGGTGGATTTCTGAACAGATCAGGTCTTTTTTATGGGTGGTATTGCCAAATACTTCCAAAGAAAAGCTCAGGCATGATGCATAGATCGTTCCCCTTTTAAAGAGAAGCTTACAAGGAGGTGTATAAAGATTACTTTAATCTCTTGGAAGAGAAATACTCCAAATCCATTTATCATCCTAGACATTAACAATACTAAAAGGCAAAATGATTCAATGGTGGAGGACAATGACGACAAACACATATCTTGAAAGAGAGAAGCTCACATTTCAAAATGAATTGGAATCTTACTTTCTATTTTGATCTTCGCTTGCAATTCAGCATATCACTTGATGCTGATATATAGAATTTGTTATCAGTTGTTATCCAAGGGAATTTGCCTAAACACAGATATAAAAATCAGGCTCTGATTGTATGTCTGCTCTTTTGAGTGCTAGAGTTAAGGGTCTGATAAATTTCAGTGTTACTCTTCTGGCGTAATTTTCACTTCACATCAGAAAAAGAATAAAGAATATTATTGCTCAGTTTTTTTTTTAACACTATATATAACTATAGGGTTATACTATATATAATTATATATAGCCTATCATTTATAATCCAAATGAGAATACTTTTGAGAGTAAGAAGAGGTACTGGTAATAACTATACCAGGACAACCTATGTAAACTGAGACTCTCCTGGGAAAACCAGAACATATAGTTTATATATAGTTGCATATAACTACCCATAATGTTATATCGTTTTCAAAATATATAACTTTTGGGTCATTCAAAGAAGTATTAATAAAGTATTCAAAGAAATATTAATAAAGGCTTTTTAGCTATGTAGTTGATACTTTATATAAGACTAAAAGTAACTTTAGAGATGGCATTTCTGATAAGTTAAATTTAAAAATGAATTATGAAGAAAATGTTATTAGAATTATCCCAGCCAAACAACATTAATAGAAGAGAAAATACTGGAAGTATGTAGTTGAAGGAAAGCTGCATGCCATCTATTTTGCACCATGACAGTGCTTACTTAATCATCTTTTAGTATCATAGAATACCTCCAAAATAAAGTACTTACATGTACATAGGCTGTAGTTGTAAATGAGATGTCTTCTGAGGCCCTTGATAGCCATAAGAATCAAAGCCACCTATGAAATCAACTGAAAAGGGACAATTGCTTTCATTAGTTAACTTTTCAAAAGAGTTTAGCATTCATGATCAAGATCTCACACAGATTACTAATATAAACCATTTAATAATCTATTAAAACCTAAGTGACTAATTGTGGAGGAAAACAGATAGTTCCTTCAGGGTAGTGATATCTCCCCCCTCAACTGTGAGATTCAATTATTGCTTTACAAGAATCTATTCACTTGGGAGAAGAAATTATGTACTCTTCTCAAGCAACCAAGACCTAATTGGAATAATAAAATTCACTTGCAGAGTAAAGATGCTGTATGTCTTTTTTGGTTAGTGTGGAGATTTTCTGCAACACATTACAAATGTAAAGAATAATGATTGCTTAAGTGCATGTACCTATCAGCAATTGCAGCACGAGTAATGATATTATATACTATGATTGTCAAGTACAAGGTGCTATGATGGAGCTTGTGTAAATTAATTCACCATGGTTGTGCCTGCCATTACGTGTTTTATGATCTGAAATAGGCAATCAGAAATAAAGATGTAGGGCAAAGTTTAACCAAACATTCAAATGCAATACATACTTCGATATTTAAAATATAATAACATATAACAAAATTACCCAAAATGGCTGTAATAGTATCTCCTATTTCATATCTGCTTACACTGTGGCCTTGACACTTCTCCCTTCTGGTAGTTTTGGTCTGTGTCCTTTCCACTTGAACCTAGGTAGAACTTAGTGGCTGCTTTAATGAATATGGTAGAAATGAAACTATGTGGCTTTCAAGGCCAGATCATAGAGATGTCATACATTTCCCTATTGTCTTTTGAGATGCTTAGAACACAGCCACTGTGCCCAAACAAGTCCACATGAAAAGATCAATGAAGAAGCCAATGGTATGTGTATTTTGACTGATAGGCTAGCTGAGGTTCCCGCTGATAGCCTGGACACGTGAGAGAAAATGCCTCCAAATGATTCCAGCTTCAAGCTGCTTAGTCAACCCAGTCATAGAGTCTTCCCAGCTGAGGCCCCTGAGATCAAAGAAAAGCCATTCTCATGGTGCCCTGTCTGAATTCTTGCCCACAGATCGATGAAACAGTAAATACTAAGAATACTGGGAAAAAGTTTTGTGTTTATTTTTTTTCTTTTCTACTCCTGGACTTAAAGGCTGTGTGGTAGGGATAAAAGAGGCAAACCGATGAAAAGCTGGCAAGACAGATGATAGGAGAGAGAAAGGGATATAGAGACTGAAACAGGATGCCTGTGGATATCTTTACTTGTTCTAGAGTCATATTCTATTGGTTTAGCTTTGACTAGTTTTTGTTCTCTTTCTCCCCCCCTCAACTGTGAGATTCAGGTGCTACAGGTAGAAATTGGAGCAAAGTATGAAGTAACATAAAGTCCATGATGTCTGTTTATATAATGGGGAAATATTTTTTAATAGATTTTATTTTTTAGAGTTGTTTTAAGTTTATAGCAAAATTAAGCAGAAAGTACAAAGAGTTCCTATATAGCCCCTCCAACAAACTCTGCCACTAGTAACATCCCTCACCGGAGTGGTACATGATTACAACTGATGAATTTACACTGACACATCATTATCACCCAAAGTCCAGAGTTTACATTAGGGTTCACATTTGGTGTTTTAAACTACGTTTTTTGATGAATGTATAATGACCTGCCTCCACAGTGTTAGTCTCATACAGAATCATTTTGCTGCCCTAAAAATCCTCTGTGCTCTGCCTTTATCCATCCCTTCCCCAATCTCTAGCAACCACTGATCTTTGTACTGTTTCCATAAGCTTGCCTTTTCTAGAATGTCACAGAGTGGGATTGATACAGTACTGGAACCTTTCCCGATTGTCTTATTTCACTTAGTAATGTGTCTGTAAGGTCGTTTCATGTTTTTCATGGTTTAATATCTCATTTCTTTTTATCTTGAGAACACATTTTTCTGGGATGAATTTCTCTTCTTATCAAAAGTGGAATAGTATAAGAACAAAGGCCATGGTGTTAAAAGGATCAAGGTTCAAATACTGCTTTGACCACTTGCCAGCTGTGTAACCACAGACATATCATTTAACATTTCTTAAAACAGGAATTAAAATACTTATTTCATACAATTAGTATGAGGATAAAATAAAATAAGGAATGTAGAGCCCTGGGTGAGACATATGGTGTGGAGGAAGAAAATTAAAAGCCCCTGAAAAAATTCAGGATTTTCTTTATAAATCTTTTAAGCCATGCAGTGTAGGAGAAAGAGAAACAGAAAATGTTTAATTTGGGATAACGATGGAACCATACCAGAAGATGAATTAAGAGAAGGAACCTCCTTTGTTTCCTGAATTGCCTGTATGCATACATTAGCTAATATAAAGGTTACCAGAAAAGCTATACAATAATTGAATGTCAACTATATTTAAGGTTTGTATTTTGAGAAATTATTGTCTATGATTGGAAATTAATTTCAGACAGTGCCTAAATTCCCTTTTATTTGGGTTTTCTCTTGTCAACATTGAAACTTGATTAAGGACTAGTTTACTGAGAGGTATTCACAGTGTTAGAATTTCCTGGTTAGTGTCTCTTCCACTGAAATTGAGATCCGAGTTAAACTCAGGTTTATTGTTGGGGCGCCTGGGTGGCGCAGTCGGTTAAGCGTCCGACTTCAGCCAGGTCACGATCTCGCGGTCCGTGAGTTCGAGCCCCGCGTCAGGCTCTGGGCTGATGGCTCGGAGCCTGGAGCCTGTTTCCGATTCTGTGTCTCCCTCGCTCTCTGCCCCTCCCCCGTTCATGCTCTGTCTCTCTCTGTCCCAAAAATAAATAAACGTTGAAAAAAAAAATTAAAAAAAAATAAACTCAGGTTTATTGTTATTGTTATTGGTATTTTGAAATATTTCTCGGGCTTGTTTCCAGGGGTTTGAGATGGATAGCAGAAAAGGTCAGATGGTAGTTACAAACCAAAGATTGTAGTCACTCTACAATCAAAGGATAACTAAAAGAAACCAAGATGAATCTTCAAGTCCAATGGATAGAATCAGGACCAAAAATGGAAAACAAAGCTTGAGTTGGGAGCAATGTAGACCTTCCTAAGACATGAGAAAAGGCCAGAAGGGAAATGAGGTGTGTTCTTAGTATGTGTTGTGAACAGTGTTTGACTTGTCTAGGGCTTGCTTTCATTAGCCATCTGGTGTAGGGGTTGGTAGTGCTGGCTTACAACTCCCCATGTGGGGAGGATCACATAAAAACTCTGATGGAAGGATTGTCATTTTTCTGATCATTCAGATCATCTGGAGCCATAAAAAAGGATCCAACAGCAGGTGATTCAGAACCAAGATGAAAAAGAAGAGGATCTAAATGTAGCCACGATGGATTTTTACCATTTCACTTATGAGGGAGGCATTCAAATTTAAGCAACAAAGGGCATATTTTATAAACATGCTTTAGTTCACAGCCAAGGAAATTATGTAAGGCCAATTTCCACATGCATTCATTCCCAGTAATTGTTTGGATGTCTTCCTAAAGACTTGAGGGAGAGGAATAGAAATAAGCTGGATCCAACCAACCACTATAGTTAATATTACGGTGGTCAGTGTAGGTAGATGTGATTCCTTGCTCTTCTTTTCCAGATGATTCTTCAACCACATATGGAACTCCTTGTGGTGTCACATGGGTGAAAAAAAGAAGTAGAAGAAACTATTTTTTTCTTTTTCAAAAAAATGAGTCACTGGGGTTAACTTACATTTTTAGAATACTGTTAATACCGCTTTGGTCTATTTTCCTTTTCTTTTACATAATCACATTTATCAAGTCTATAAAGTGGTGCTACATGCTGTGAAACTTTTCTGAGCAGTAAGGGTCATGAAACATCTGACAGGTCCTTTTCCAAGTAATTGTGATGGCATCTAGATGTTTGGTTCGTAGCTTATCTCTGCATTATTTAGAAAAGTGTACCTGTTATTCCTCTGGAATCTCCTTAAGTCCTGAAAATAAAAATAAAGTTCCGGGGTGCTGGGTGGCTCAGGCGGTTAAGCGTCCGACTCCTGATTTTGGCTCAGGTCAAGATCTCATGGTTGGTGAGTTTGAACCCCACACCAGACTTTATGTTGACAGCAGGCACAGCCTGTTTGGAATTCTCTCTCACCTCTCTCTCTCTCTCTCTCTCTGCCCCCTCCCATCCCCCCACCATGCTCATTTGTGTGCCTTCTCTCTCTCTTTCAAAATAAACAAATAAACAAAAAAATAAATAAAGTTTCAAACAATTGCACAGTTTGAATTAAGTAATTTAGAAATTACTTAATAGTTTCTAAAGGCCTTTCAGGTGATATTAATTATCTCTGCAAAATTACTGTGAGGTGGGTGGGAATAATTATCTTCACTGTAGAGATAAATACAGTTTTACTTGACTGCTTGGGGGACACACAACAGCTGAGGACAGGGCTGGAAGTGAGGTGTTCTATTTCCTTCCTAAGTATATTGAAAAGTGATTTCTGCTTTTCACTCATGCCATTCCAGTAAATTCCTGGAAGGTTATCAAAAGTTTTGCATCAGATTTTGGATTAAATCTAAAATCTTTAGGCTTTTGTTTTCTTTTTATAGTATTCATTTAACAAAAGTTTTTGAGTGCTTGCTTTGAGTCTTCCATTGGTTGTAGATGCTTCATTTTGTTGTTTATTCTCTAGCGTCTCTCCTCTGCTTTTGCTAGAAGATGTACTCTTATAATAATCAATAATCAAATAATAATCAAAGCAATAATCAAAGCAAAACCCACCTATGATGGATTTTCCAGTACTAGTTACTAATGAGATGTCTTGGTTTTTCTGTAACATATCTTTAAGAAGAGATAAGGTGAGCATCCTTCAAAGTTTAGTTCATTTCTTCTGAACTATAAAACCATATAAACATTTATTTTTTTTTAATTTTTTTAACGATTATTTATTTTTGAGACAGAGAGAGACAGAGCATGAACAGGGGAGGGGCAGAGAGAGAGGGAGACACAGAATCTGAAACAGGCTCCAG